TTTTTGTTTAAGATGTAAGGTAGGGGTCTTGCTTCATACTTTTGCATGGGGAAATCCAGTTTCCCCAGCACCATTTGTTGAAGAGACTGTCCTTGTTCCAGGGTTTGGTTTTAGTTCCTTGGTCAATTATAAGTTGGTTGTAGATGCTTAGATTGATTTCCGGCATTTCTATTCTGTTCCATTGGTCTATCCATCTGTTTTTGTACCAGTACCAGGCTATTTTGATGATAATGCTTTGTAGTATGTCTTAAATAAATCTGGTATTGTGGTGCCTCCAGCTTTGTTTTTGATGTATAAGATTGCTTTAGCTATTTGAGGTCTCCTGTGTTTCCATAAGAATTTCAGCATCATTTTTTTTCTAGATCAGAGAAGAATGTCTTTGGTGTTTTGATTGTCATCACATTGAATCTGTAAATTGCTTTTGGAAGAATGGACATTTTGATGATATTGATTCTCCTAATCCATGAACATGGAACATTTTTGCATTTTTTTGTATCTTCTTCCATTTATTTCTTTAATGTTTTGTAATTCTCATTGGAGAGACCTTTACATCCTTGGTTAAATTTGTTCCAAGATATTTGATATTTTTTGTAGCTATTGTGAATGGGATTGATTTTAGAAGCTCAGTCTCAGCCTTGACATTGTCTGTGTAAACATAGGCTGTTGATTTTTGTGTAATAATTTTATATCCTGCTACTTTATCAAAATCTTTTATGCTATGAGTTCCAATAGTCTCTTGGTGGAGTCTTTTGGATCCCCTATATATAGAATCATGTCATCTGCAAATAAGGATTGTTTGATTTTTCTCCTTCTCAATTTATATCCTTTTGATTTCTTTTTCTTGCCTAATGGCTCTGGCTAAAACTTCCAGCATTGTACTGAATAGCAATGGTGAGAGTGGGCATGCTTGTTTGGTACCAGATCTCAGTGGGATGCTTCCAACTTTTCCCCATTCAGTAGGATGCTGGCCATGGGTTTGTCATAAATTGCCTTGTGTTGAGGAATGTTCTTTCTATACCCAAGTTGCTTAGAGCATTCATCATGAAAATGTGTTGTATTTTATCAAATGATTTATTTGCATCTTTTGAGATAATCATGTTTTTTGTTCTGCAGTTTCTTAATGTGATGTATCACATTGATTGATTTGTGAATGTTATACTATCCTTGCATACCAGGAATAAATCCCACTTGGTCCAGGTGAATGATTTTTCTGATGTGTTGTTGGATTCAATTGGCTAGAATTTTGTTGAGTATTTTTGCATCTATGTACATCAGGGAAATTGGTATGCAATTCTCTTTCTCAGTTGCATCTTTTTCAGGTTTAGGAATTAAGTTGATGCTGGCTTCATAGAAAGAATTTGGGAGGATTTCCTCTCTTTCAGTTTTGAATAACTTGAGAAGAATTAGAGGTAGTTCTTCTTCAAATGTCTGGTAGAATTCAGCAGTGAAGCCATTCAGTCCTGGGCTTTTCTTTGTTGGGAGGGTATTTATTACTGACTCATTTCTGTCATGGATATGGGTCTTTTTAGGTTTTCAATATCTTTATGGCTCAATTTAGGTAGGTTGTATGTGCCCAGGAATCTATCCATTGATCTATTTTTCCCAGTTTGTTGGCATATAGGTCTTTGTGAAATTTCTGATTCATTTTATTTCTGTGGTGTCTATTGCTACATTTCCTTTTTCATCTCTAATTTTATTGATCTGGGTATTCTCTCTCCTTTTTTTGGTTAGTTGGGACAATGGTGTGTCAATTTTGCTTATTTTTTCAAATGATCAGCATTTGTTTTGCATTTTTTGATTCAATTTTTTTGGTTTCTTCTCTGATTTTAATATTTATTTTCTACTACTAGTTTTGGGTTTGGTTTGTTTTTGTTTTTCTAGATCCTTGAGATGCAATAATAGCTCATTTATTTGGTGCTTTTCCAATTTCTTGAGGTAGGCACCAATTGCTATAAACTTTCCTCTTAACACTGCTTCTGTTGTATCCTATAATATTTGATATTTTGTATGGTTATTTTCATTTGTTTTCATAAATTTTTTGTTTTCTCTTTTGATTTCTTCTATGACCCACTATTCATTCAGGAGCTTGTTGTTCAGTCTCCATGTGTTTGCATATGTTCTAGAGATTCCTGAGTTGCTGATTTCCAGCTTCCCAGCATTGTGGTTTGAGAAGATGCATGATATGATTTTCTTTTTAAGAATTTGCCTTGACTTGCTTTATGGTCTAGTATGTGGTCAATCCTAGAGAAAGTTCCATGCACTGGTGAGAAGAACGTGTATTCTGCGATTGTAGGATGAAAAATTCTGTAGATATCTGTTAGGTCCATTTGGTCTACAGCATTGATTAACTCTTCTGTTTTCTTGCTGATTTTCTGTCTGGTTGATCTGTCCATTGCTGAAAGTGGGGTATTGAAATCCACCATGACTATTGTAGTGGAGTCTATGTTTCTCTTTAGGTCCTTTAACATTTCTTTTAAATAGCCAGGTGCCCTGTAATTAAATGAATATACGTTTATGATAGTTACATCTTCCTGTTGAATTGATGCCTTAATCATTACATAGTGCCCTTCTCTGTCTCTCTTAACAGTTTTTGTGTTAAAGTCTATTTTGTCTGATATTAGGATAGCTACCCCAGCTCTTTTTTGGTTTCTGTTGGCATGGACTATCTTTTTCCATCCTTTCACTCTCAGTCTGCTTATATCTTTGTTGGTGAGAGGTGTTTCTTATAAGCAGCAAATGGATGGGTTTGTTTTTTTAATCCATTCAGCCAGTCTGTGTCTTTTAACTGGAGAGTTGAGGCCATTTACATTCAAGGTGACTATTGATAAGCGATGATTTTGCCCTGCCATTTTTCCAAAAGTATTCTTACTGCTTTGAATATCCTTTGACCTTTTACTGGGAGATTTTCTTCCTTTGTTTCTGTGTGCAGCACATCCTTAAGTATCTTTTTTTAGTGCTGTATGGGTGGTGACAAATTCTTTGAATTTCTGTTTGTTATGGAGGGTCTTTATTTCATCATCATTCATAAATGAGAGCTTGCAGACTTGTGTCTCCTACATTTAGTTGTTCTACTGTCATTTGGATTCTGGTCATGAAATAATTTTCCTAAGCTAATTTAATTGTTTTTCAGAATCTGTAATCAAATGAACAGTAATTAGTACCCTTGGGCAATGCTAATTATACATTTCTTGTATTTCTGCAAGCCCATAAGATCGTTTATATTCCCAATTGTTTCAATAATGTTTAATGGCAAACAAACTTGGACGATGTAGCAGTTCCCTCCAGTGCAAAGGGCAGGCATGTTTTACTGTCCATTATAAAATATCAGGCTCTCTAAATTTTTTCCCACTGCTTGTGCAGGCATTATCTGGTTCCCTTTACACCATCCTGCAAGAACTGTGGCTCAGGAAATAGTGCAAAAGTGATGATAGTCTGCTCTGCTATTGATGCAGATACTAAACTGTTCTTTGTCTCTGATCCAAAAGACATGAAATTGTTGCAGGCTAATTTGTCAGATGGCATAGAAGCTGAAATTTTGTATCTTTTACAGTTCTTGAAAATAGTATTATTTTAGACTGATTTAATTTCTTAAGTACAGTTCACTGGGCATTGAAAAGAGGTTAATATATACACCAATAATATGGAATAATATTTTAATAAATAAAATGTGTTGTTTTAAGAAATAAATTCAATTTTTACATTGTTATAGGATAATAGTTACTTTATATGCACAAATCTCTATTTCTCATTAGTATTACAGATAAAAATTCAGTTAGGATGCTTTAGTTGTAGTAACAGAAGCAACACTCTCCCTAGTTTCTATAAAAGGAATAAATGTATAAAATATTACAAGGGTACATTAGAAAGCCAACAAAAACAGTTAGGCCTCAGGTACAATGGCCAGTAATAGAAATCAAATCTTGCCAGCTTAAACAAAAAGGGGCATTTATAATTAGGATACAAGGATAGCTCACCAAGTGTGGGGCAGGGATTACAGCCATGCTTCACAAAGGGCTGGAACAAGGGTAGACGGCTGGGAATCATGCTATCCTGATCTCTCATCTCCACTTTGCACTTGCCAATATTTCACTGCTCTCTCATGGCAGATCTGCTGCTTCTCCTTCCTAAGCTATACAATGGGACATGGGAGCCTGCAGCTCCCAGTTTAAATTTCCTCTATTCCAGAGACTAGTCAGACCAATCCTCGAATTTCTTATCTCCAATTCCAAATTCCTAGGGAAGTTTTAGAACCTTACCAAAATTAGAGATAATACTCTTCTCTGGGATGGTCAGTAAGATGAAATTTCAGGGTACCAAGAGATAGAGACTGATTAAAATTTTGATTTTGACTACTCCTTACAGATCTAGAGCTGAAGTAGCTTACTTAGGTTTAGGGAGAGAGAGAAAGAGAGAGAGAGAGTTAACTCCCTCTCACAGTCTCTCTGGTGAGAAACCATAGGCCTGGATAATGCTCTCATATTATTTGAGACAAGCCCCTTTGCATTTATTGTAATGTATATAATTTATCTTCTGGCAAGAGATGGACAGGCCTTGGTATGAATAATTTAAGAACAGAAGATGGGGGCTGACGATAGTGGGTTAAGCCATTGCCTGCAATGCTGGCATCCTATATAAGTGCTGGTTCAAATGCTGGCTGCTCCATTTCTGATCCAGCTCCCTGTTAATGCACCTGGGAAATCAGCAGAGGAGAGCCCAAGTGCTTGGGTCCCTCTACCCATGTGGGAGACCTGGAAGAAGCTTCTGGCTCTTGGCTTTGGCCTGGCCCAGCCCTGGCTGTTGCAGCCATTTGGGGAATGAACCAGCAGATGGAAGAGCTCTCTCTCTCTGTAACTCTGCTTTTCAAATAAAATAAATAAATCTTTAAAACAAAAACAAAAGATGGCATTATGCTTTGTTAATTCAGTAATTAATCATTTTTCCCAAGAGAAAGAACAAAGGGATTAATTATTAAGGGGATTTAGGAAAAAGGAAAAAAAGATTAATTACATGTAGGTGTCAAAAATCCCTCAGAAGCATCAATAGAAATTTGACCAAAGGTTTCTCAGACTGGAGAGAAACTGACTCACGACTCACCTAGCTTGAGTCAGGTGCCTATGAATTATTTTCATCATAGTGGTATGAGGGTTGGGGGACCATTCTGAGATAGGAAGGAGAAAAGAAGATTATTTTCTGGATTTTTTGCAGTGTTCTAAGTTCCCCTGTAGGAGCAAATTATATTGTTTACCAAAAGCATGACATGTTAAGATCTGAAGGCGATTTGTTTGTTTGAAATTCAGAAAAACTGATGGAGGTATTCTATCCAGCCTTACCCACACTGAAATAAAATTGAAAACGTCCAAAGCATAAGGAAATGTTGTGGATGTTTTATTCAAAAATATATTGTATTTGTGCTAAAGATTTCTTCAAGTATTTCTCCTGTATATTGAGGTATATTCCTATTATTTATTGTCTTTTGATGACATACATGGGGTTAAGCTTAATGTTCATGATATCCCTTTAGTTCTTCCTTTGTTTCTAGAAATAAGAACTAGCAAGGTAAGTGGGACCACTCCATGGTAAAGTACAGGAAAAGCAGTATTAGCATGAACATGTTAGGAGATTCAATGGGTAGTAATTCAGTTTTAACTTTACCTGATGTCAGTGTACATACGGTTTCCAAAGAAAAGTCATTCAATATTATGTTGAAGGTTTTGTATTTCAACCTCTGAGTTTCTTTGTGAAAATATTTCCTTAATGCTTTCCTCTTTTTGATCATCATATAGTGTAATATTCATGACGTTTTCAGTACAATCTTCCTTTGAAAAGGAAGATAGATATGAAAATACTTTTTCCATTAGAGGTTCCCTGAGAAGAGGCTTTGGCGAGCTCTTTTGCACTAGGGAATCATCAGAAAACCAGTCATCAGCTGCTTCTATACTTTGGCTGTAGTAAGAATCAGATGGTAAAGTTGACAAGCTTAATGTAACACTGCTGCCATTTGTTGTGGAGCTACTCTCTGGGGGCTGACAAAGACCCTTTTGTGTTGCAAGGTGGAATTCATCTTTAGAGTGACCTTTAATTGCTGCAAAAAATCAGATTCATTATGAATATTAAATATTCATGAGCCAAATTTTAATTAAAAGGCAACATTTAAAAAAATCAATTCAGATTATTTAGGATTACAATGAACAGAATAAAGAAATTCTGAGTTGCTACTATCATCTAAACAATTCAATGTATACTTGGGAAGTAGTAATATTTTCGTGATAACCAAGAGTAAAATTCTAGCCTAAATAAAAGCCATATGTTTTTAACAGGGAAAAAAATCTAATTAGGTTAGACCTCTCAGTTCTGGAATGTTCCTTAAGCTAGACATCTCAGTTCTGGAATGTTCCTTAAGTTAAATAAAATTGTAAGAAGCCATTGATTTGGACTAGGCTCCTACATTAGGCACAAATGACCAAACCAATATAAATTTTAATCGCAGTAAATGAGCTTTGGCTGGTCGTGGAAGGCCGTACAGCCAGTTAACTGATTAGGCTGTAAGCCCTGTAACTAATTGACAGCTTGACTGATTTGGCTATAGTCAATTAAGTTGTTTTCTATTTCTTGCCTTCATTTTTCTGTAAATGCTGTCTGATCATAATGTTCGTTGGAGTTCCCAGAACCTGCTCTGGTTTTATGAGCTGCTCAATTATAATAATTTTAGTTTCTGTTTTCCTTTGCTCAAATAAACTTTGCTAAATTTAATTGACCTAAGAAATTTTCTTTTCAACACTTATCAACCAGAAGATAGGTAGTTTCTTAACCATTTATATTTAAGTACTACTTTATTTTCAAAAAACCAATTTAAAAAATATATGTCTCTTTGAACAAGCAAATTAAAAATGTTTGATATCCAGTGGAAACGACCTTTGGGTGGGTTTTATAGCCTAAATAACTAACATGCCTTTAGAGCCTTACAGTTTACAAAGCATTTTGACATACTCCCTTGTCTCATTTATACTCTCAATGATTCTTCAAGGTAATTATTGTTAGCATCACTTCACAAAAGAAGAAACTGAGACTTAGAGAAATGACCTATCACAAATGAAATAAAAATGGATTTCTGAGGCCTATGCTGTGGTGTAGCAGCTAAAGCCACTGCCTGCAGTGCTGACATCCCATATGGGCGCTGGTTTGAGTACCGGCTGCTGCTCTTCCAATCCTGCTCTCTGCTATGGCCTGGGAAAGCAACAGAAGATGGCCCAAGTGCTTGGGCCCCTGCACATGCATGGGAGACCCGGAAGAAGCTCCTGGCTTTGGATCGGCCCAGCTTGGCTGTAGGGGCCATTTTGGGAGTGAACCAACAGATGGAAGATCTCTCTCTCTCTCTGCCCCTGCCTCTCTGTAACTCTGCCTTTCAAATAAATTAATTAATTAAAATAAATGGATTTCAATCCAGACTTTCATTACTCTAGGTCTCATGTTTTTCTCATTATATTATTTAGGCTGCACATTTGATATTTAAAATTGTTAAGTTTTAGAAAATATCACTTTTAAGAATATCTAAAAATATGTATTATTCTATTTTGTACATTAATTTTAAAAGATATTTTGAATATCTTATATTTTATAGTTGGCATTTCTAAAATTATGTAGGTGGTAATGTTTTGAGGTACTATGATACATGCAATATAGGGTTACATTAAAAACTCATGTCTTTTGATCCTTAAGCATTTCTATATGGTACCAGTTAGCACACATAAGAAAAAAATTTTAATTTCACATTTTAACTTAAAATATGACAGTGCCAGTTTGTTTTTCTTAAAAAAAGGTCATCACCTACTAATAATGTTTTACTTAAATCTGCATGGCTTTGACATAGTTAAATGACATTTCAGTTAGTTCTCGATTCTTTACAGCCACAAACTGTTATCAGTTAAGATTTCTTCTAATAAACTGATGAGAAAAATACCTTTTAAACGTGCTGCTTCCTGTTTTCTTTGCTCCTCCTATATAAAAAAGTTATTTGTATTTTAAAAACTTAACAGTTTTATGTAATTTTAAAATATATATTTGATTTACATATTTAGCTCAGTAATAAGTTTTAACACTATAAATTTTAGCTGGAAAATGTTTCCTCACAATATGAATTTCACCAAATAAACTGCTGGAAAAGGAAAAGTGTTGAGGTATCATCTGAAAAGGATTTGGATTGGTTCAAGAAGGCAGTCTCCAGGACTGGGAATCCAAAGATTCAAACAAGTGTCTTCTCTCTGACCCCACTAACTTGGAGAACTAGATAGAGCTAAAAAAATTAGAATTCCTAGGCTTACTCATTTAACATTTACTAACTAGCAAGAAAGTGAATCCTTACTGAAGGCCTTTTATAAAAATGGGAATATTCTTCTATAGCAAAGAAAACATGTGATGCGGTCTGGGAAGATGTGGTCTGGGACTTAAGTGCAGTAGTGTGACAGTTCTCAGATTTAGAGCATCAGGATCACCTGGTGTGCTTGTTAAAATATTGATTATTGGTGCCAGAGTTGTGGTGTAGAGTTAAGCTACCGCCTGTGACACCAGCATCCCATATGGGTGCTGGTTCAAGTCCAGCTGTGCTTCTTGCTAATGACCTGGGCCTTTCTTTGCACCCATGTGGGAGACCTGGATGAAGCTCCTGGCTCCTGGCTTTGGTCTGGCCCAGGCCTGGCCATTGCAACTATTTGGGGAGTGAACTAGCAGATAGAAGATCTCTCTCTTCTCTCTCCTCTCTCTCTCTCTCTCCCTCTCCCTCTCCCTCTCCCTCTCTCTCTCCCTTTCAAATAAATAAATCTTTTTAAAAAACTGATTCTTGAACTAAAATGAGGAGAGTCAGTATCAGATCCTTCTGAAACAGGTATTTTGGGAGGAGGGCTTGACAGTATGCACTGGAACACACTCTATAAGTGATTCTAATTCAGATTTTCCTTAGACTACTAGAGAAACAATGGGCTGGTGTCGAGGGGGTTTGGGATGGAGTGGGAGAAGATGAAACTGAAGAGATAATAATCTGTTGTGTTCTGGAGGAAATGTGTAAATGTTCTGTCTTGACTGCATTGCCCTGAGTCCCAAAAAGACTTGCTTAGAATACATATGTGTGTTCTAACACACAAACATTCTTCTCAAAGCAAACTTGTCATTTTTACCTTTTACTAATAATTCCTGATGGGCTTCTTGAACTTACCTTGCCTGGATTCCTTTTGAAACTCTTGTACAAAGTGTATTATAATATTGCTTCTTTGACTTTAATGTGCCCACAAATAACCCTGGGAGCTGGTTAAAATGAATGTTCTGACTCATTGAGCCTGCGTGGGCTCAGTGTGAGATTCTCCATTTCTAATGGGCTCCCCAACTAATGCTGATTATTACTGGTCTGGGAATGACCAGGTATGGCCCAATATTAAAATTCTATCTAAACCAAGGATAGATAATATGGACTTTCTTATACACATGTAAATAAAGGTAGCAATATTTTGGAGGAAATTTTAACAAATCTATTTTTAGGAACATACTACACCAAGTAAATAATTTTGGTTTTGTGTCAATATTCAGTTACCAGAATATTCATCTGATATTGTTTAACACGTTTAAAACCTTCAATCTAAAATTCTAACAATAAGGAAATAATTGAATGCATTATAGATATCAGTACAATGAATATTCTTTCAGCTATTAGAAATGATGCTATATATCAGCAAGGAAGGAAGGACTCAATGGAGGGAACATATCAAAAAGACAAAGGAGCAAACTTGAAGGAGTTCCTACTGATAAATTTGGTAAAATTTGAGCATTAAGATAATGATAATAGTACTTCCCACAGAATAAAATGGAGATCCTTGAATCCATATTGATAATACGCAGCATGAAGAAAAAGGGAGAGACTGTTACAGTAGAAAGTCAAGTGACAATGGAGTGTTGGAGTTGGAAAATCATTATTTTGCTATAGTTCAGTAAAGATTAGTTTAGGTAAGAATAATTTCTATACGTAGAAAGTGAAGTTTGATAAAGGGAAGGTTATTTGCAAGATTTCAGTGTGAACACACAGACTGCTTATGAATCCAAGGGAAATAAGAAAGAGTGCAGTGGGGCAAAAACAGACCCTATCTCGATTGTGTGATCAAACTGAAATCACAAGTTAAGGATAAACAAATATTGTATGCCTTCAGATGTGAAAAGCCAAACCGAGGAGCAGTTTATTATTTATAAAGTACTGCCAACATTAAAAAAGACAAAGAAAGGTTGAGGAACTGCCTGAGACTTAAAAAGACTGAAGAGACATGACAACTAAATGCAAATGTGATTTTGAACTGGATTGTGTACTAGAGAGAAAAAATTCTATAAAGGACATTATTGAAAAAATAGACAAAAATAAGGACTGTAGATTATATGAAAATATTGAATCAATATTGGATTTCCTGAATTTTAAAACTACATTCTAGCAATGCAAGAGAATTTCCTAATTCTTAGGATGTACACAAAAGTATTAAGGAATAAAAGAAAAAAACTCTCATATGGTTCAGAAAACACACATACACACACACATATACACTTCACATATATGGTTCATAACTCCTGCCTCTTAAATATTTTTTTTTTTTAAAGATTTTATTTATTAGAGTTACAGACAGTGAGAGGGAGAGACAGCGAGAAAGGTCTTCCATCTGCTGGTTCACTCTCCAAATGGCTGCAATGGCCGGAGCTGCACCGATCTGCAGGCAGGAGTTAGGTGCTTCTTACTGGTCTCCCACACGGGTGCAGGGACCCAAGGATCTTCTACTGCTTTCCCAGGCCACAGCAGAGAGCTGGATTGGAAGAGGAGCAGCCAGGACTAGAACTGGCACCCATATGGGATGCTGGTGCCGTAGGCGGAGGATTAACCTCCTGTGCCACGGCGGCGCTGGCCCTCTTAAATTTATTTTCTCTACAAGGCTATTGAGATACCTCTTGGTTCTCTTCCTATTTATTTATTTAAAAAAATCTATTTGCAAGACAGAGAGACACAGAATGACAGAAGACTTCCATCCTCTGGTTCATGCCCACAACAGCTAGAGTGGACCAGGCTGAAGTCAGTCCAGGTCTCCCATGTGGGTGAGAGGAACTCAGATACTTGAGCCATCATCTGCTGCATCTCTCGGTATATATTAGCAGGAAACTGGAATTGGAAGCAGAGCTGAGACTTGAACCCAGGCACTGTGATATGAGATGTAGGTGTCCCAAACAATGTCTTACCGCACTGCACTCTCTGGTTCTCTTTCTACTACATTAGCTACAGTTATTTTCACTACCCTAGGGAAAATTATAAGTATTTGATCTTTTATTCCTACTATCATTCCACACATCCATTGAACATAGCAAACTTAAGAAGAGTTCTTCCCATTCTTCTTGTTTATCAGAGGAAAATCTAGGTATTTTTGTTCCCTTATCACAACCTTTGCTCCTTCCTATTATGATGCAGGAAGTTACTTGTCTTTTCTTTTTTTCTCCTTAAGATTATTTATTTGAAAGGCAAAGTTAGAGAGAGAGGGTGAGATAAAGAGATAAAGAGATCTTCAATCTGTGCTGAGATGAGCACAGGGGTTCAAACACTAGGACCATCTTCTGCTGCTTTCTCAGGTGCATTAACAGGGAACTGAGTTGGAAGTGAAGCAGCTGGGAATTGAAGTGATGCCCCTATGGGATGCCAGCATCACAGATGGGAGTTTAACCTGTTGTACCACATGCCCCCAAAGAGGTTACTCTTGGTGGGCAATGGTTACTGATCCCTTTGAATTGGGTAGAGCTAATTTATTAAAAAGCTGAGCTCAGGAAAATAATGCAAATAAGAGCAGAAATCAATACAACAGAAAACAGAGACTGAGCTGATCCAAAGCCAGGAGCCAGGAGCTTCTTCTGGGTCTCCCGCACAGGTGCAGGGGCCCAAGGACTTGAGCCATCTTCTACTGATTTCCCAGGTCATAATGGAGAGCTGAATCGGAAATGGAGCACCTGGGACTTGAACCAGTGCCCATGTGGGATGCCAGCACTATAGGTAGAGGCTTTATCTGCTACACTACAGTGCCAGCCCAGTCCTTTTTAACATTGCAATAAAATATACATCACAAAAAATCACCATTTAAGCCAATTTTAAGTAGATATTGTTCAGTGGCATCAAACATATTCACATTGCTATGCAGCCATCACCACCATATATCACCGGAACCCTTTTTATCATCCTAAACTGAAAATCAGTACCTCATAAAAATTCCCCTGCAATTCTTTTCTAGTGGCTTTTTTTTTTTTTTTTTTTTTTTTTTTTGAGAGAAAGAGAGAGAGGTAAAGAGGGCCAGGAAAACAGACAAGAGAGAGAACTCTTCCCTCTGCTGGTTCACTCCCAATGGCCACAATGGCCAAGCTGAAACTAGGAGTTTGGAACTCAAGCCAGATCTCCCATATGGGTGTCAGGGACCCAAGTTCTTGAACCATCTACAGACAATTATTTTTAATTTGGGAGGCAAAGAGACAGAGACAGGCAGACAGAACTCCCAACTGCTGGTTCACTCTCCAAATGCCTGCTACAGCCAAATCTGGGTCCAGATCAAACACAGGAGATGGGAGGACAATCCAGGTCTCTGGTGTGAGTGGCAGGGACCCAATTACTTGAAACATCACCTGCTGCCTCCCAAGGTCTGCATTCTCAAGAAGCCGGAATTGGGAGCAGGAACCAGGACTCAATTCCAGGCACTGCAATTTGGGACATGAGTATCTTAATGGGTATCTTAACCATTATGCTAAATACCCATCCCTACATATATTATTTTTTAAATGTATAATTTAAAATACATTTATAATTAAAAAATCTTATCAATATGACTGCAGTCATATTCTTCCCCCAAAGTCATAACTCCAGTGTAATAATGAGAAAAACACTGGACAAAGTCAAATTGAGGGAGATCTTACAAAATACATGACCAATAATATCTCAAAATTTAAAGAT